GCATCTCAATAAATCCATCCTAAATTGAAAATATTATAAATGGAATGTACACCTAATCTGCAGAACAACATAGCTTAGTTTAGCCTGCCTTAAACATTCTCAGAATACAATATAAAAGAAAAAAAATACTGGGAACATAGTACACTGTAGAAAAATAGTTATTAACCCTTGTGATTGAGTGGCTGACTGGGAGCTGTGATTCACTGGTGCTTCCCAGCATCATGAGAGAGTATTATACCATATATTGCTAGCCTGGGAAAAGATAAAAATTCAAAGTTCAAAGTATGGTTTTTACTGAATGGATATCACTTTCACATCATTGTAAAGTTGAAAAATTGTAAGTCAAACTATTGTTAAGTAAGCGATCATTTGTATAAAAAAGGAACTTGGTACTCCCAATTTACTCTGCTGGTCAGAACACACATGGGCATATTTCTCTTAAGAACATGATGAACTGGAGCTTGTCCAGAGAAAATATATTAGATAGTAAAGAAAATAGAAACTCTGCTAAGTGAGATACTTGAGGATATTGATTATCATATTTTAATTACACTTTGGATGAAATTGAAAAATATAAAAATTTACTATGGCCTACAAAGTCCTTCCTACCTGATGTGGTTATATGTATCAACTCTAGACCTAGAAGTGTATCCACAAGACAACTTAACCATTGAAGGGATGTTCAAGATCATTTTTCATAGGCATATCACTGAAGAGAGAAATTTTAAAATTAATTTTAATAATGTTCAGAAAAAAAAATGTAATGTGCATCCTCAGCTGTCATGTCTTACATATGCTACTCTCTAGCATCACCTTGATTGACTCTACATCTAGCTCACTGAATTTTAGCTACAGTGGCTTCAGTCCCTTAAATAAACCAAATCCTTTCCCATCTCAGTAATTTCAGAGATATGGTTTTCTCTTCTTGGGCAACTCTATTGGTAATTTTTCACTTAGTTAAATCCTAAGAATCCTTCGAGTTTCAGCTTAAAAGTAACTTCCTCAAATAAATTTTCTAATATGTACCATTCTAAATTAGGTCATTCTGTTATAATCTCTTTAATAAATTATGTAACTCATTCATACTCTTTAATGTTCTTTCATAGCAATTTATCATGAGTTATAATTATGTGCTTATTTGATACTCTATGAGGTCAAAGACTTTATTTTATTTTGGTGGAGAGTTTATATGGGGCAACTTAAAGAGTTTTCACCATGGAGCAGAAGCCCATATATAGAAAAATAAAGGCAGGAGAGGAGAGTTTGAGAGATAAATTCTTTGCATAATGAATTGAAGGAGGTTCTGAATTTCTAGGCACAACCTGAGAGAGTGGGAATGAACTATTAGAAAAATGGATAGAAGAATAAACATGAAAAATGATTTCAGGTAGACAATGATAGGATCCAGCTGAGTAGTGAAAAAAACAGGCAATGACAAATTTCCAGTGATGGCAATGGCCAAGAGATTTTAAAAACAAAGATGTATAATATTCTAAATCATTTTCTGTGTTGCGAATCAATAACCCTAGAAATAGTGGGCACATTAGTTTGCTAGAAGTTCTGTAACAAAATACCACAAACTGAGTGGCTTAAACAGCAGAAATATACTTTTTTATAAAGACACCAGTCAGATTAGATTAGGGCCAATTGTAATGGTCTCAATTTAATTATTTATCTCTTTAAAGGCCTTATATCTCTAAACACAGTCACATTCTGAGATTTTCAGAATTAGGCTTTCACATATGAATTTTGGGGGACATGATTCAGCTCATAACACTGGAGAAGAAGGTAAATGGTTCTGGATTTCCCACCAAGCATGGAATAAGAGCTAGAGCAAATTCATTTGAATATGAAGCAGCAGAGTAACTCCACCACATTGAAGTTGAATATCTGCCCTATAACTGGCACTTTTATTTCTTTGGTTACTTTCACTTGTGAATATTTACAAAAGCTTAGTAAAACAGAAAAATATTCTTTAATCCAATCATATTCTTATTTATCCAGTCTTGCCATATTTTTTCTTATTTTTAAAAATGTGATTCTTGTAAGATTATTCAAATTGAATGAGTAAACTTAAGAGGTGGAGTGAGATAGTTGTTTTCACAATTTAAAAATTGTCTATCACAAGTATAAAAATTGTAAATATATAAAAATATTTTGTAGGCATTTTGAGAAGAAACATGAAAAGGGAAGGTCATAAAAATAAACTCGTGGCACAATATCTGGCGAATACTGAATCTTATCCTTAGAATTACATTAACAAACCACCAAAATTCTTAATAAATCATGAAAGAACCCATTAAAAATTGAACATATACAATTAATAAGCTTGATATTTCTGTATATGATATTGGTTTCTTTGATATGACTATACAAAATTAAATAGTGTATAGGAATTGTTAAAGCTTCTAAGATGTATTTTCTACAATAAGCTTTACTCTCTAAAGTCATATTTCTCTTTCCAGTAATTTCAAACTTTTCTTCATAGAGTAATACAAATAATTTTTACTGATTTGAAATGTACAAATGTCAAAGCAACCTGGGAAAATTACATTATCTATATTCTGAGTACTGCCAGTCACCAGTTCATTAAGCCCTTTTTTATTTACCTTCATAAAGTGTAATACGATTCTTTTATACAGTTTTAAAATGTCAGTTTATTTGAATATTATTGTATACTAATCTGTATATATACATACCTACAGATATTTCTATATGTAACTGTCTATGTATTAAGCTAAACGTGAGTTTGTGTTGATGTCATCAACTCTAATTCATTACCATATGGATTATGCTTGACTCCTTCTCTTGCTTAACTGGAAACTCCCATGCTAACAGTGAGAAAATCAATATCGATCATCCACTGTCTATTTACTTAATTGCATAATTTCAGTTTACATGTACTCCCTATCCTCTGGTAATCACTAGTCTATAGTCCGTGTCCATTAGTTCTGGTCACTGTGAATAATGCTGCTATGAACATCCGTGTGCAAATATCTTTTCGAAAATGAGTTTTCAAGTCTTTGGAGTAAATACCTGGTAGAGGGATTACTGGATCATATGGTAGGTCAATTCTTAGTTTTTTGAGGAACCTCCATATTGCTTTCCATAGTTTTCGTACCAATTTGCAGTCCCAACAGCAGTGTATGAGGATTCTTATTTCTCTACATCCTATCCAACATTTGTTATTGCATGTCCTGTTGGTTATAGCCATTCTAACAGGTGTAAGATGATATCTCATTGTGATTTTGATTTGCATTTCCCTAATAGCTAGCGGTGTTGAGAATCTTTTCTTTTACTTGTTGGTCATTTGTATGTTCTCTAGGGAGAAGTGTCTGTTCAGGTCCTCTGCCCATTTTTGATTGAATCATTTTTGATGTTGTTGTTGTTGTTGTCATTGTTGTTGTTGAGACAGATGAGTTATTTTCATATTTTGGATATTAGGCCCTTATCGGAGGTGTTGCTTACAAATATATTTTCCCATTCAGATGATTGTCTCTTTACCTTGTTGATGGTTTCTCCTGCTAAGCAGAAGTTTTTACGTTTGATGTAGTCCCATTTATTTATTTTTGCTCTTACTTCCCTTGCCTTTGAGGTCAAATTCATGAAATCCTCTTAAGGTCCTTGAGTTTAATTCCTATGTTTTCTTCTATGCATTTTATTGTTTCAGGTCTTATATTCAGGTCCATTGTATATTTTTGGCGTTTTAGTTGAAAATTATTTGCTCATATAAATATGGGTTTATTTCTGAACTCTTGATTCTCTGTTCCACTTGTCCATTTGCCTATTTTTCTGCCAATAGTATGACGTTTTGTTTGCTGTCGCTTTATAGTATAATTTGAAGTCAGGCATAGTGATGTCTCCAAACCTTGTTCTTTTTTCTCAGCATGGCTTTGGCAATTCGGGGTCTTTTGTGCTTCCATAAAAATCTGATAATTTTTTGTTCTATTTCTTTAAAAAATACCAATGGGATTTTGATGAGGATTGCATTAAATTTGTATAATACTTTAAGTAATATGATCATTTTAATTATGTTGATTCTTCCAATTTAAGAACATGGAATATCTTTCCATTTCTTTGCATTTTCAATGTTTTTTAATAAGATCTTGCTGTTTCCATTATATATGTCCTTCATATGTTTCATTAGATTTATTCCTAGGTATTTTATTCTCTTTGTTGCAATTGCAAAAGGAATTATTTTTTCTACTTCTTTTTCTGACACTTCGTTATTAGAATTTAAGAACACTATGGATTTTTTAACATTGATTTTATGTCCAGAGACTTTACTGTATTTGCTTATTGTTTCTAGTAGTGTTCTTGTGGAGTCTTTAGGGTTTTCTATATAGAGGATCATGTCCTCTGCAAATAGTGACAGTTTGACTTCTTCGTTTCCTATTTGGATGTCTTTTATATCTTTCTCTTGTCTGATTGCACTCGCCAGAACTTCCAAAGCTATATTGAATAACAGGGGCAATAGTGGACAGCCTTGCCTTGTTCCTGATCTTAATGGGAAGGTTTTACTTTTTCACCATTAAGTATAATGTTGGCTGAGGGTTTGTCATATATGGCCTTTATTATGTTAAGGTACTTTCCTTCTATATCGATTAAGTTAAGTGTTTTGATCATAAATGAATGCTGTATGTTGTCGAAGGCTTTTTCTACATCTATTGATATGATCATATGATTCTTATTTTTTAATTTGTTTATCTGGTGTATCACATTAATCGATTTGCACATATTGACCCATCCCTGTGCCCCTGGCATGAAACCCACATGATCATGGTGTATAATCTTTTTAACATGTTGCTGTATTCAGTTCACTAATATTTTATTTAGGATTTTTGCATCTGTGTTCATGAGAGATATTGGTCTGCAGTTTTCTTTTTTTGTGTTATCTTTACCAAGTTTTGGTGTCAGGGTAATATTGTCCTCATAAAATGAGTTGGGAAGTCTTACCTCTTCTTTGAGTTTTTGGAAGAGTTTGATGAGAATAGATATTTTAAAATATGGAACACTTCATGAATTTATGTGTTATCCTTGCGCAGGGGCCATGCTAACCTCTGCATCATTCCATTTTTAGTATATGTGCTGTCGAAGTGAGCTTATTAACCTGAGTTTTAAGTAAAGTCATTCTTACACATGTCTAACATTTCTCAAATGTCTCTTCAAATCACCATCAGCAAGAGGAGAAGAGTGACTT